TTTCTTCACCACACCAACGCACCCTTTCATAATGGAGAGACTAGCTCTTTACTTAAAGATGCTAGGATGATCCAGCACATCCTTCGCACCTCTGTGATTCCCAAAGCCGGCGACCGAGTCCACATCATTCTACTTCTTTCACTTACTACCTTTTACATTTTGGCCCATAGAGAATTCAATGCCACAGACTTGATCTTTCGCTACATCGAGCATTTGACTACCATTCAAGATCCAGGTCATAGAAGAAAGCCCAATCTTGCTCTAGGACATATCATTGCATATGTTCTATAATCAAAATACAACCTTCAATATCCTGCTCCTCCCAACCATCCGCCACCCTTCTACTCAAATAGTTCCTTCAATGCCTTTCACAGTACTTTCCTACACCCAGGGGATGGGGAAGCTCAGGGGGCCGAGGAGGAGGAGGCTCCCGCTCCCGCTCCTGTTCATGAACCTGTTCCTCTCCGCCAACACTCTTAGTTGGATTTGTTGGTGGAGAGATTTGATCAGTGGGAGACCTGTTTTGATGCCTATGTTGTACACCAGCAGCAGCAGCATAACCAGGACATGGCCTGGTTTGGGCACAGTTTGCTACGCTTTCTAGTTACTTTCAGCAGCCACCACCACCACCACCTCCGTTTGATGATCAGGGGCCCTCATTTCTCTGATTTTCTTTGTATTTTTTTTTCTCTAGTTTGTTTTTCTGTATTTTGTTTCTCTTTTAGTTTTAGTTGCTTTAGTTTGCTTCTAGTTTCCCACTCCTTTTTGTGATGTCAAAAGGGGGAGTAGTCTGATGTATCTTGTACTTTGAATTCTAGAACTTAGAAAACTGCTTTTTTGTCACACTATTTTTTTTAACTGCCATAACAACTTGGAATTCTTTGTTTGTGTTTGCCATCATCAAAAAGGGGAAGATTGTTATAAATCTAAGATTATGGATTAGTCTTTTGATGATAGCAAACATTCATGTTTTTCTACAACTGTCGTGCCTACTAATTTTTCAGGACCACAAGATCGAATACAACTCAAGCCAGCTCAAGATCGGGGAGATTTAGGTTGAGTCAAGTCCGTATTTTTTCCTTTCTTGGGTCAATTATAAAGTGGTTCCTGATGCTAAGTAACCTTGTACACACACACTTGAGAGATTTTCTGAGTTTTTCTGTTTTGAGTACATCGGCCTAGATGATGTTCATATCGGTCAGGCCGATCCAACTAAAAATATAAATCCTAATTAGGGCATCCTGCTTAAGCAGCCGTCATTAAGCAAATCATCCTGGATGATCCTTGTATTGGCTAGGACGATAGACTCAAAAAAAAAAAATCAACTGTCATGATACATTTAGTTATTTTTATTTTAAAACATTGGCCAGGACGAACTCAACATCGGCCAGGACAATACAGCACAATTATGCCTAAATTAATCTAGCAATTATGGAAAGCAATTAAGGCCGATTGATACGATCACATCGGCCGGGCCGATCGTAGAATTGGCCGGGACGATGTCCTGGATGATTGACATCGGCCAGACTCTATTCAGGGCGATGTTCAGGATAATTGTACTCGGATTTGAACTAATCGTCCATGACTATATTGTATCGGCCTGGACGATAAAACCAATTTTCTTCTGATCATCCCAAATTGCCCCAGTTAATTGAGCTTACTTTGTACTGATCGACTAGGAAGATATTGTCGATTCTTAAAAATCTATTTAAAGGACCTGAATTTTCTCATGCTTAAGACCTTTAGTACTGCTGTCTTGACCTGAGAGAGCCTTGGGAGAGAGAGAGAGAGAGGGGAACTTGTGAGGGGGAGTTTGTGAGAGGGTTCATAAAGGTTGCTCCAAGCAAGGTTCCAAGTCATCGTCTCCGTTCTTTGTCCTTCGTCCTTGGGAGGTTCTTGGGAGGTCTACTTCAGGAAAAGGTCTAAGTTCTCTACCCGCTTCAGGAGGAAGAAAAAGGAGTCGGTTCTCTGTCGCATCTGGGTTAGTAAAAGGAGTCTATTGTAAAGGCTTCTCCGCCTATCTGTGGGAGCTAAAGGAGAGACACTTAGTTAGTGCAATACTTGGAGGGTGTCTCCGAGGAGTGGACGTAGGTCAAAGTTTGACCGAACCACTATAAATCTTGTGTGATCTTTCTTTGTTTTTCTTTTGTGTTTATTTATTTTTGCATTCTGATTTCTGTTGTGTTTTTGGTTTTAATTTTGTGTTTTACCTAAAGAAAATTTTTTTTAAATACCAATTCACCCCCCCCCCCCCCCTCGGCTAGCTCTTAAGGGCTTAACATCCCTAACGAACTTTCACTTTTATGGATGACTCAACAAATATCCATTTGATCAGGGAAAGGTTGACATCAACACATAGAAAGCATAAGAAGTATTTAGATAAAAAACATAGCTAGTGGAATTTCAGGTTGGCAATTTTATTTTTGTCAAAATCAGCCATATGAGAGGTGTCAGTATCTTTGGGAGAATCAGTGGCATAAGTCCAATGTACATTGGGCATTTTAAGATTAGTGCGAGGATTTGAATTTCTTCTTACAAGTTATTATTACTTGAGCATATGTTAGATATAAATAGTATATTTCATAAATCTTCTTTGAGGAAGTGGGTATTTGATTTCAAGAAGATACTATTTACTGATGATGTTGATGTTCATCTGAATCTATACTATAGGAAAGTAACTAATAGTATTATGGCATATGATGTGAGAAAATTAACAAGCAAATTGATTTCTATGGTCAAGGTATAATAAAAAAAATAAAATCAATAGAGATGCTCTTTGTTTATTTTGCAATTTAAATTGGAAGAAGAAATTTGAAGCATTTTCAATAACTAGATCATCAAATTTGCTTGTTATAAGTCAAAACAATATGACATGTCCTGTTGGGTTGGCTTGTGACAATTCCACCCTTGGCGTAGGTGGCCATACTATCCTTAGCAATATTGATTGCAAGGGCACCCAAGGATGATGAGGTCGATAGTGGCCTCTTGGAAAATTTGATCTCATGTCCCTCCTATCCAATAAGGTCTTTGTTACCCTCTCTAGGAAGCAAATCTGTAAGGGTGACTGGCTGAACAGGACTAAATCACTCTATTATTCTCTTCAACATTCATTTGGTTGTTTGCTAGCTCCAATAACTCTGCAAGTTTCTTTGGCAACTACAAGTTAAGAAAATGCCTCTAAGTTATTGGGTCAATGTGACTTGGGTGACTAAAATCTCTAGATTCTTCACTTCCAACATCTTACTTTGGAACATCAATATGAAGCTTTTTGGCAAGTCCCCTGATGCCTGCCTCATCTTTAGTAAAGCTTGCAAGCTCTTATGTGGCTACTGAGCATTGGTGAACTCTATTACTTTTTTTTTAAGCCAGCAAAAGAAGTGAACACCCCCAAAGATAGATGAGGGAAATACATGAGTGTTGAATCCTTAAGTGTCGTGAAGACGATGTGACTTTTGAGGGCGTTGTCAATGTCTAGCAATGAGGTCATTGAGTAAAATGTAGTCACATGGTGGGATATGTCTTGCCTTGATATGACTCTAACTGTGGTACCTTGAGCTTGAGAGGCAGCCTAGCCTCACAATCACCTTGATCTTGGTGAATTCAAGCTTAGCTCTTCTAACTTGCATGTTCAGCAATTTGTAGTCTTTGTCATAAGTCAACTTATGAGTGAGTTCAGGAATGGTGTTAACATCAGGGCTCAATCTTCTGGTTTCCTTCAATAGATTGCTGAGTTAGGCGACCCTTCAAGGGTGTTATCTCTTTGCATTCATCATTGGAGCCCACCCAAGCCATTTTGAATTGTCTTCAATACTGTTTATTCCAATTCATATATTTCTTGGTGAGTGGTTTGGTCAGTGTTCTCCACATTCATGAAAGGCTCTTGTTATATTTATTCATCTTTATGGTCTTGTCTATTTATTTAGTGCAACGATTCATACTCGCTACACCTGAGAGAATGTGGGATCCAAATGTGTATGTGAAAGTTATTAAGCCTATTAGTAGTCCAAACCTGGTGAACTAGGACCTGTGAAAATGAAGGGAGGAAAGAATAAAGGAAATGATACATAATTATTTAAGTTGTATATATCTTAAATTGGCATAATATTCACTATATCAATCAAAAGTCCTCTACCCTATTTCTTATGATCGCTTATTTATAGAGTTATGAGAGCTATAAGAACAATTAAACATTAAAAAAAAAACACACAACACTACACACATCACCGACATAATACTATACACTAAGCAAACACTTGTCGCCCACTCATTGGCTAGGGAAATCAAGGGATCCGAGTTCCATTAATCTATCTCTGGGTGATCATAGTAATGCCCAATAGGTTAGGGCATGCTTGCAAGCGAGTTTCGAAGAGGTGATGGTCATATATTTTGGAAGATGTTGGCAACTTGTGTTGAGCCTTGAACCACCTAAGAGAAAAAGCGAGTGACCTATGATGGTGGACAAGGCATGCTTAATGGTTAACCAATCAAAGTAAGGCGAGTTGAATTCTCTTTGAATGATTGCTTTTACCGCAATTGCATCTGATTAAAGTGCTCCCTCTAGAGAGAGCGACTGCACGACGGATGCTGAGTTGTTGACTTAGCATGTAATAAGCTGATTAGTAAGCTCGAGCAATTAGCTTGTTAATTCTTTGGGAAGAGCAGCGGGCATCATCCGGGCTAGTTTATCTAATAAGCCTCTCAAAGTATGAGTTCCTAACATGTGCCAAATTACCTAAAAAATACCTACGAAGACATACGAGTATACATGTATTAATAAAACGACTGCCTAGAAGGTTCAAAGAACTTGATTTTGTACAATTATTTGGATAGTAAAGCATTATTCTTCAATGCATAAATGAAATATGAGGCGTTTCATGTTGATACGTAACGCAAATGCACAGCAACAAATATTAATTGAGAGTAGGCAACCAATACTTCAGAAATGGCATTTCAAATCTAGAATATATTTAAAAAAAAAAAACAAATGAATAGTTGCCGTCAATGCAGAAATTCCGAATAGTTTCACAAGAGAAGAAAATGAATTCCAACCCAATACCGTTTGCTCTATTAGAATTACATCCAAAATCGTTGAGTAGCTAAAAAATCACATTAAATCATAACTAAAACCAGCTTTTCTTTCATCATCTAACGTAATTAAAAACAAAATGAACACTTGTTGGTCTTTACAAATTCTGCCAAACCTATATGCCGATCAAACAGTTTATGTTCTTTGCTCTTTAAGAAGCCCTTACATGTTGATCCATGTACAGAATCATGCTCACAACTGATGCAAGGATGTACTGCCACAGGGCTGCTTCACAAGCATTCCAGTAAGGAAAAAAAGAAACATGGTTTAACTAAAAGTTGCAATGCAGATCTTTGACAAGATCGTGACTATATGAACAAAGTTAGTCATTTTAATCTGATTATCATGCCGAGCCAAACTCAGAAAACCATTTCTCATGTCGCTCAATATCAACAGCAGATACACTTCTCTGAACCTTGGTAAGAGCTTCGTCAAAATCACACATGGCCACAGGATCCTTAGAGATTTCATCCTTTGACATGTTCTTAATCTCATCCCTCGTCTTTCCTGCAATTTTCCTCCTCATACCATTTAGAGAAGCATCCCGGCATACATTAGTCAGATCATCACCACTGTAACCTTCTGTTCTGCGAGCTACTTCATCAATGTCAACATCCGTAGCTACCTATTGATTGCAAAGAAATGAAAAACATTTTTACAGAAATGCTAATATAACTTTTAGGGTAAGATTCTACTACTAATATCAAGTTCTAAATGCTTTAATACAAATGATTGTTCGTGAATACATAATTCCTGAAACCTTGTTCAAGAAAAATTAAAGTATGTTCAGAAAACAAAATCCAAGAACACTTGTATATACAACCTAAATAGTACCCCAATATGTTATCAGCAACAATACTAAACCATACGATATTATTTGCAGCTTGTCGCTACAAAACATCAAACAGATTAAAAGCTCTCTTTACTGCCATTTTAATAACCATTTTCTTGCTAATGATAACTTGAAACCCCTAGTTAACAAACAAGCTATAAAATCTATCGAAGACAAAAAGGGGAAAAATATTCAACGTGTTCATTGAACGCAGTTGGTGTTTGCTTTTTATCATGGCAATGCAGAAAAGTACATTTAAGCCGTCTAGTTTGAAATTGCTTCAGATATTCGTTAATTACAGTTAATTTGCTATCATGGAATCGAGTTATTTTAACAGCACAAATCTATTTGGGTTAAGCATGTGTATCAAATATAACCTATGTACTGGTGCTAAATTAAAGTTAAGCATGGGTCCAAATCTTCTAGTGTTAAGTTTAGGTATCAAAAAGCTTTTGAAGCATATTTAATACTAAAATAAAATCACGTTAAAAGCCTGAACTTATTCCCTAGTTTTGTATTTAATACAAAATTGTTACTCAAGTTCACTTAACTTTCAATGACTTTTCAAGCTTTTTGGGGATCAATGTCATTAAGAAGCTATGTGACCAGAAATTCATCCTATGGTCAAAGGTACTACTCTATTTCCCAAGTTCGTTCCAATTGAAATTTAAATAAGAATACATTTTTTAATTTCAAATGCATCATAATTAAACTTCAACATAAATTCATTATGTAACAAACTGTCTCCAATGTTTTAAAGATTGAATAATAACATAAAGTTTTATGTAATAAGTAGCATAAAATTGTGAAGCCTCGTTAAATTTTTCACTAGATAGTATAATTGAATGATTTTCCTAAATAAAAACACAACATATACGTATGCCAAAGCATCATAAGTAACCTCAAAAACTTAGAAGTCTTAGATGATATAATTAAAACTTTTCTTTGAGCAAAATATTTATTAGCATTTGCAGTTGAAGTTCCTTTTCAATATGTCAATGATAGAAGCTATAATGATACTGAATATTTTAATGAATATCATAAAAAAAGTGGTCGATCCAATAAAACTTCTAACATAAAAAAATCCAATATACGTAGATCAATCAATTATTGCTTTGATTTTTCAGAATTAAGTTGAAGCTCATTAGAATATCGGATAAAACAAAAACAAAATACATTTTATATGATAAATTACTCCTTAAACAATATAAGCAGTTTTTCAGATCTTGAAGTACTCAAAATAAGTCTCAAGTACTTCAAATGTCTAATCTCATCAAAATACACAACAAAAAAATTACTATGAATAATCTTAAAACATTATTTATCAATTTCACAAAATATAATAGGAGAATTAAAAAGACCAAAATGCATGATTAACCATTCATTCAAGACATCCAGTGCTTCAAAAGAAAATTTTCACTAATACCTAATTATATAGTGATAACAATTTTTTAAATCTATCTTGATCATGAAAACTGAGCCATAAATTAAATCAAGCACATTTCATCAATTGAAAACCTATACATACGGGTGATCTAATTTCGGGAATTGTTTTCAAAGAACAAGGTTGATGCAGGACTACGTACGAATGCTAATGGTTTCTTCTTTGTTATTCTAATCACCCTAAACCCTAAACCCTAAACCCTAAATTACATAACCAGAAAGTTAGAAAAACTTTCAAAATCAATTAGTAAATCACTTGATGCCGAAGTAGTAGTGTCAATACAATCCCTAATCTAACAATAAAAATTAGTAAGCATAAAGGCACGCTCAAAACCCTACGTTTACTAAGCTACTAAGCTTAGCAGTAGCAGGGGGAGTCGTCCTTCATGACTACAATCAAACACAAGAGAGAGTTAGAATAAAGAAATATATTGAAAGGGGAAAAGAGAACCTCTCGTCAAGGAGCGGTGGAGATCCTCCACTCGACGCCTTGAAAGTGCTCGTCGATTGCCTCCACTAAAGTGTCCAAAATACGCTCTAGATAGTCCTTGACGGTATGATCAACCCCTGTATTCACGTCGAAGAAGGTTGACTGGAAAATATCAGTGAAGCCGTCCTCGTCGAAGGTTAAGCCGTATTCAGTTTCTGGATCCGCCATTCATAGGTGCTAGTTAACAAGTCCTCCAAGGATTATTTGCCCTCTTGACTCTTCGGGAGAGAAAGAAGTTTCTCTCCAAGGGAAAATCGAGAAGAGGCTAAGAACGAGTTCCTTTCCAAAAATCTGAAGTGAAATTTCATATTTTAAAAAATCAAGGATTGAAATTCTAGGAGGGGAATCCAATCCTTCAAATCCGGTGGAGGAATTAAGTGTAGGGAGAGAGAGAGAGAGAGATTTGAGAGAGAGAGGCGGTTAGATAGAGAGGGGGCGGCGGGATGATAGGGGGCGGGGAATTAATTTTCCTAAATCAATTATTTAATTTAGGAAATGATTTGAGGAATTAGGGGATTTGGAAAATTCGGCCAAGAAGGGGGAAATAGGATTTGGAATTATTTCCTAAAGGAAGAATTGAGTTTAGGAAATAATTAAGGGAGCATTAATGGGCTAGGAGAGAGGGGAGGCTAGCAGCATCCATGGGCTTGGGGTTTAATGCCAAGTGTCCAAGCTTGCTTAAATTAAATTTTGGATTTTAAGAAAGCATTACTTAACTCCTATTTGAATTTAAATTTCAAACCGTTTAAGTTTAGAAACTTTTCAAAAATAGATTGACAAACTTAGGAAAGATTTTAAAATTCTAATTGCTTGAATTTGAATTTCAAATCAGCCCCAATGATCAACCATTAAAAAAGTGGACGAGGCATTCGCATTGAGTCGCGCCTCAAGTCGAGGCGGAAGTCATGCGTATCGGGACTTATGCCTCGAACCATCCAGCGAAGCCTACGATTTTTTCGCACGAGGTGTACGAATTAGAGCGTAACGCCTCGAGGCAGTATGAGGCACCGCCTCGAAATTTTTTCTTCGGTATATATTAAAATACAACGCAGCCTATTCGTGTTCGTGTATTCGCGTATAGGATTAGGGCTTCCTGTGAGAATTGAAAGGCAAACTAGAGGCGAAGTCGTGAGGGAAAGAAACGAAGCCGTGAGGGAAGGAGACGAAGCCGTGAGTGTAGGAGACGAAGTCGGAAGGAGACGACGCAGGGAAAGAAACGAAGCTGAAGTTGTGAGTGAAGGAAACGTTCAGGCATCGGTTAGGTCGGAAGAGCAAGTATGCGGTGTTGTGGCCTTGACTTTGACATGCAGTTATGAAAGCTTGAATAACTCCTGATTCGGCTTTCTTCATTCGTCCGCTCAGTACATGCTGGGTACCGAGCAGGTACATGCTCGGTACCGCTCAGTACATGCTCGGTACCGAGCGGTGCATGCTCGGTACTGAGCGGTGCATGCTTGGTACGCTCGGTATTGAGCATATATAACAAGCAGAATTTCAAAATTACTCTTATAATATAATTTTGTACCCTGGCGGTACAGGTCGAACCCTACCAGGGGGCAGCGCCCCCTTAGACCCCCGGCATACTGGTATATTTTTGTATTCATGTTGTTTTATTATTGGTAGTACAAATAATTGTTAAAATATGTCCTATTGTTAGTATGACTAGTGGCAAAAGAAGGAAAGATCCTGCGTGAAAGTATGGAACTCAAGTTGTAATGTCAGGCGAAGGTGCAAAGAAGGGATATGTTTACATGAAATGTAATTTCTGTGAGAAACGCATAACTGATGGCGTCAAGAGATTGAAGGATCATCTAGCCTGCACTCATGTCAATGTGGGACCATGTTCAAAAGTTCCTGATGAAGTGAAAAATGAATGTACAAATTATTTAAAGAAGTTTGCCACCACAAAGGAGGTCACACAAAGAAATATGGAAGAGATGATAAGAAACTCTTCTTACTATGGATCACAGCATGAAGGTTCCAGTACTGGAAGCCATCTAGTTTCTTCTGACCGATGCAGTCGGGGGCCCATGGATAGATTTATGCTAAATATTAATAATAATGAAAACATAAATACTCAGGATATTCAGCCTCCTACAACTACAAAAGAACTCAGGAACATAGTTTGTTTGGATATCGCCAGATTCATCTATGAAAATGGGATTCCATTTAATGTTGTTAGGAGTCCGTCGTGGATCAATATGTTACGATCTGTTGGAAGCTATGGAAGAGGATTACAACTTCCAAGCATGTGTGAGCTGAGGACTTGGATGCTGAATGAAGAGGTTAAGACAACTTCAAAAATGGTGGATGATGTTAAGAAGACTTGGATTGAGACAGGAGTGACAATAATGTTAGATAGTTGGTTAGATATTCGACATAGAAGTATTATTAATTTCTTGGTCAACAATCGATATGGAACAGTTTTTCTCAAATCAGTAGATGCTTCAAGCTTTGTAAAGGATGCACAATTATTGTTTGAAATGTTGGATGAAGTTGTGGAGGAAGTGGGAGATGCCTTAGTAGTACAGGTTGTTACTGATAATGCAAGTGCATAAAAAGCTGCAGGAAGAATGTTAATGGAGAGGAGGCCTCACCTTTACTGGACTCCTTGTGCTGCACATTGTATTGACTTGATGCTTGAGAGGTTGGGACAGTTGCCTCAACGTAAATCAGCCATATTGAAGGCCAAATTCGTTAGTAAGTTTATATACAAATATTCTTGGGTACTCAGCTTGATGAGAAAATTCACTGACAAGAAAATTATTAGATTTGTTGTTACAAGATTTGCTACTGCATATTTAAGATTGCAGAGATTCAAGGAGTTAAGACAATCTTTGGAATCAATGTTTGCTTCTGA